CTTGCTGAGTCAGTGGTTAAAATCCTGATGAAAAACATTCTGCAAACGGAGCTTAATAATTATTTAGTATCAACGTACGCCATGACATCACAGGATGAGTAGGTAAAGCACCATGAGAAGCGTTCATAGCCCAATGCTTTGAGGCCGGTAACCATTTTCATGGCAGCTCGCTGGGCGTGCCCAATGAGTGCTACGTCCTTCGCGCGTCCTGCGTAGACAACTTGGTTGGCATATGCAAGATTCGATCTGACATAGGCCCCATAGAGTAGTTGGAAGTTGTCGCGAGTAATACGGGAGAAGGTGAGCCGAACCACCCGTAGAACGGTGATTGTCTTCCGAGCCACTGTTTCATGGTGCAGTAAGAAGGATGTGTTTGCACAGAGCCAAATAACCAAATCATTTTTGGCATTTATTCTCGTGATACCTTTTGGTCCATTCTCATCAAGCACGACAAAGACGTCCGCTGGGTCTCCTTTGAACGAAATATAGATGCTTTTTCGTCATTCAGAGGAAGTGTCAATTCAACGACCACCGTTTTGCAGCGTCCACACCCACTTAGGTGCACTGACATTAGAACTCCAGGATTTCAGGTCGTCCGAGAAAAGTGGGCATAGACTTGCAAGAACATCTGGAAGGTCACTAATGTATGTCAGGAACAGCAGTCGTCCCAGAACGGAGCCTTGATGAACTCCACTGGGAACCGGCACCGGAGAAGAGTAGGTCGAGTCTATATTCACTCAAAATGTTATGTCTGGTGGGGACGCCCCGATCCAGCGTAAAATTTCCCATTGAACTAATAAATACTCGATTTTTCGAAACAGTGGCACGTGTGCGACTCGACGGAAGCCATCGAAAAATCGAGAAATTGCAATCTGCGAATGACATCAATTCGCGAAAAGTTCACCGTTATATTCCCTCAAAAATGTTCTCAGCAAAAGAATCAGCATAAAGTGACTTAAACCCGCAAACTAAGGTGAAAAACATTTGCACTGCCTAGCATACGAGACAAATCCTGTGAAATCATGGAAATCCGGGTACGTGCTATCGGACTGCGAACCCTCATTGGCTGTCGAGTCCACATTTATGGCCAATCAGAGCTCGACTATTTTCTTCAAAATCTGGTGACTCGGTCTTTTGCCAAGTCATTTTGGGTTGTGTTTCTTGACCGGAACAACGCCCAACTGTGAGCACTAAGGCAGATTCGGTGCAGGACATTGCCAAACGTTTCCGAAAGTGCGTCTCATCAACATTCACACTTGTTGTCCTTTCGGATTTTTGGGTGGTTCCAGTAGACATCCCGCAAAACAGGTCTGCGATGTTTTCAAAATCCACATAATTTGCGTGCAGCTTGCGCGTCATTCGAATCCACATAGGTGTTCCGGAAAATGCGAGAGTCGGAGTGGTGGAAAAGTGGTCGGTCTGCGCTGCATGTTGCATTCCATACGGAGCACCATTTAGCAGAGAAAAATAGTTCATGGTCAGCACATAAATACGGCGGGTACTAGATTTTGTCCGGGCGTCTCCATCTCACCCATAAACGATCAGCCAACTGAGCCGCAGCAGTACCAAGTCTGCTTGCCTGCACATTCATACTCCTGTTAACCACGACTATATCTGAGCCCATATCCCACCACAAGTGTTCAAAGGGTGGAAAATGCCGTTTTGGAGTGTACAAGCGCTACTGTCACCTGAGACGTAAGCTCACACAAGGAACATGCAGAAATTGTCGTGGTGTCCACGGGATGCTCACGCAGAGGTCGGCAAACAAATCTCCTGGGGGTCAGTTTCACTGGACAACTGTTTATCCAGACACTTGGTGACTTAGAGCAGCCGCGGCGGATTCTGAATCCTGGCGAGCAGCAACATAAAAGCATAAATCGATCGACCCCGTTCAACAGCTGTTCTAGGCTTTTGAATCCTCGTTTAATTGGAGCAGTTCATGTCAATGTAAAAAGAGTTCAACGCAAATGAAAGACCAACTGGTCGGCCGGCTTCTTTCAGAGTTCGAGGTCTGAAACCTGGCAGAATAATAGGGCGTCTAGTTTAGGGAAATGACTCTGATGTCTGTACGTAGGTTTCGGTCGAGTTGACCGTGGATTTCGCATCAGTGTCCAGTGCTGATCTGTCAGTACTTAAAGATGGGCCCAGAGAGATGACACTGGCGACGACGTATAAGCAGAAAATATGAAGAAGGAAGGGGATATCAGCCGTGGCCCCTTTTGTTCATCCACCCCATTGTGTGTATTGTAGTGGTCTGGCTACGTATAAGTTAGTTTACCGGGAGTGTGTGGCAAAGAGATGAAAATAATTGCGCTAGGTTGGGTACACAAAAATAAAGAGATCAGATGGAACAGACTCACTAATAATTGTTCACTTTAAAATAGTTCGTCGTTGGCCCATGTCAGCGAATAAACAATAATCCAATTATAGTGGTCCAGGGGTCTTCTCCTGAACAGTTCCCACATACAATAGATTCCGAAGATATTCTGAAATGTTTTGATAACAGAGTTAGCACACGAGGCTCGCGAATGACCGCTACAAGCGCGAACGAAATCAGAGGAGGGAGTCGAAGCATGTGACCACGCTTGTATTTCGTGAAATTGTACAAGTGCGCTTTTTTGTAGCTTTTCGTATTTAAACAAAAAACGGTTATGCAATTGATGGAATACGTAGTGTTATAATGGAAGTAAAATAAAGGTACAAAACGCCACATTACTCCCCCACTAGAGCGTGGAATATGAAAGTG